ATTCTTCCAGGTCTAACATTCATGGCTAAGACCCGCCATGCCACTTATATTGTAGCCAACTTGGCCACCTCGGCGTGGTGTAATGGTTAGCAAGCATGTCTTGCTAGATCAGTTACTACTGAAAAGTGAGTTTGATCCTCACTGGATGCCCCATACTTTTGGCCTTGTGCCACATCTAACCTACGCTTGGAAAATCTCTACCAAGAACATTGGGGCACCACGAGGTGATGTAATGGTTAGCAAGCTTGTCTCACTGAGTAGTGAGTTCGATTCTCACTAGGTGCCCTCTACTTTCGGCCTTGTGCCACATCTAAGCTATGTTTGGAAAATCACAATATTGTAGCCAACTACCCATACTCCGTCTCTATTCCATCGGCAAGAAGTAAGTTTCACTTGAACAGCTTCTTCACATGAACCACTGCCCAGTGGAACCAACTCCCAAGAAGATGTTTCCCCAAATCTTAACCTGTTCAAGTCTAGGATTAACCATAATCTTCCCCTCTTATCCATATAAACTGCCTCTTAATGTAACCCTCTACTTTGAGTGGCTGCCAAGCCTTATACAGAGTGAACCTTAATGTAAAAAAAAAATGTAAATGCATTGCTCATAGTTATATTCTGGAAATATATTAAAAATCAAGAACAAAGAGATTCTAAGAGGTCACAAAGGAAGAAGAAAGGTATATATCTATTTGATGAAATATCATGAAGAAAGTGATTGTTATGGCTTATTTTCATCTTCCTGCTATAATGGTGGATGGTAGGGACATGGTCTTCAGCAATTTAGGAATAAGTATCACCTACCCAACCCTCAAGTATAAACCTTTTGCTTTGTTATCCAATTACAATTGAGTCATTCTTCTGTTAATTTGTTTTTATTGTTCACCTTGTTTGAAATATTTCTTACTTGTTATCATCTGCTTTACATTGTCAGACATTTTGGTGGCCCATGAAAATCAAAGCTGATATTTCTTAGCAAAGACAAAGTTAATTGCTTCTTTACTTTGGAGAACTCTTGAATCTTGCTTCCAAAAGAAGAGATACAAAACATTTTGATATAAATGTTGTTCTGAATAGGAAACAATGAAAAATAACTCAATAATTAAATTGAAATTTTATGGCTTGAATTAATGAGAAAAAGGTTTCTTCTACTGCTTCAGTTGTCAGATAAAAGATTTTTATTATTCCATCATTTTTTTTCCAACTATTATGACTTGATTTCAAAAAATATCTTATATAAAAAAAACTTATTTTTTTGTTACACTGTGTATGCTCATTGCATGTTATATTTTGTGCTGTTGAATCACACTTTAGTCTGCAGCATTTAACTTCCATAAAAGTTTTTCACAGACTGCCAGGCTTACACATTTTCTATGTTTAACTAGTCATTCCATTCTTTTGAGAGTTTGCATGATTTTATCAAAAGTTGTTGTATTGATAAACATTATATAATCATTTTTACATTGCCTCATCGTGTGACACTTTTGTGAACCATAAATTCAATCTAGCTTCATCAACAAGTTTCAACCTTCTGTGGCTTCTTTTTTGCTGACACATTTCTACCTAAGGTCATTTTTATCTATTAGAAAATGTATTTTTAGTAAAAATGTAAATAGCTGAGGATAACAGGTCAAAAAGTTTCACAGCTGTTTGATAGTAACCTGTTTAGCTCAATCACCTTTTATAATTTAGAAGTATAGAAATATTAAATATCTTTATAGAAATATAGGAGTATTAATATAGTACACACACACACACACACACACACACACACACACACATATATATATATATATATATATATATATATATATATATATATATATATATATATATATATACTTGCAGTATAATCTGTCTTCGACTGGGTGTTTCATTACTGGGAATTTTTGCCGTTCAATTGAAGCAGTTTAAGTTTAAAGTCAGCCCACCTGAAAATCAATATTAGTAACAACAACTGGGTGCAACTCAGGCACATCCCCAAATGAGGTGGGGGTTAACAATTTGAATGTAGGGGGTGGCCCTGAAAAGGGCTGTTTTTGCAGTCTCTACCTTGCAAGGAAAGAACCTCTTCCATAGACAATCATAACAATAATAATATGCAATAATTTTTATTTATAATTAATTTTTGTTATAATTTTAACAATCTTTTGCATTTGATTTCAACTCTCTGAATTGATTGTAAGCTGTTTTTTACAGACATTAAATTTTGCCTTTGATTTTTGCACAAAATAAAAAAAAAATCATTTTTTTCAATTTTTCACCTTCAAGACTGTAATTTTTTCCAGCCAATTTCGACTCATAACCAGCACTGAAGAATTATCTATCAAACAAAAAAATTTCATTGAAATTGGACAAAAACAGTAGAAACGCATAAACAACAGCTAACACACACACACATGCGTGCGCGCATTTTGAGAATTATATATATATATATATATATATATATATATATATGGTGATTGCTATTTCTTGAGAATTATATATATATATATATATATATATATATAAATATGGTGATTGCTATTTCTTCACAGAGGAAGATTATCTCTTCATATTTGAATTTAGTAACTGTGAACTCAAGACTCAAAAAGCTTGCTTCATTTCTGCAGACAAAAACTTGTGTATGGTCTTAGAGTTTATCAGGTCATTATGCCCTCTCATGTGACCTGCTTCTGACCCACATACTTTATCACAAAATTAGGATAAATTTCCTTTAGATTGTTTTTGATGGATGTCAACCTAGTCTGTTTGGAATTGCTTACCATCTTGAAAGCTTCACATCAGAAAACCATACCCCAAAGATGTTGCATATATGGTCATGTCCTGATGTTCCTGCTTTCTAAGAGGAATGCTTCATGATTGCATATAATCAACCCTCTTTTTCCTTTAATGCTTTACAATTATCATTTACCATTTTCTTATACACAGATTGATTTTCTGTCAATGTTTCCATGCCCTTAGCATCAATACCAAATGTTGTAAGATTGTTTTTAACATCTTTACAGCTATTTTCAAGCATTTAAAATGTGATAACTTTCTATAAAATAATTGCTTAAGCAATCTATCCCAGATTTCTCGTAAGGTCTCCTGCCTATCTCATTTGCTTATGGATGAGGAGCTTTTCAAGACTTGAAACATTGTCCCACTGAAGAACAACAGTATCAGGTATAAAGGGAGCTACCAGTTGATGTTCAAAAGTCTCTGAAGGCACTCTTGATGAAATCTCTCCATAGCTTAAATATGATGTTGGTATGTGGGTCTCCAGGTCTTTGTATTTCTTATTCTTCAAGAAATCTTTTGCTATCTTGAACTTTTTTTGAACCACTGATCAAAGAGGCATGAAATGGAATAATATGACATGTCTGGAGAATTTGACATATGTAGGAGAATTATGTATGAATATCTACTGTGTTACATTTGCAACATAAGAAAGAGCAGTTTCACACAGCAAAATCACTAGTTTGCTTCCTCATCCAGTAAAAGATCTTTTCTTTTCCAATGTCATTCAAATGAACCAATTGCTCCATGTATCATTAAACAATGTGTGCAGTTGATAGTAATTCATAATAATGAATTCTTTTTTTAATCTTACCAAACAAAAGAAGTCACTTAAATTAAAATATTGATGTTTTTGCTGAATTTACAAATGATTTTCTTTATTTAGGATTTACATAATAAATGTTTCACCTTTGTGTTCTTTGCTTCATAATCTTTTTTAAAGTTTGTAAAGAAAATGCAATAATTGATTAATGATCAATAAGGACCTGAGTAAAGTTCAAAGATAGTTCTAAGATTTCTTTCACACCACAAAAGGTGGCATTCGAAACTTTGTTCAAATCTCATCAAGAAACCCCATTCTTTGAGAAGAGCTTTTGGCACCTGACACAGTTCTATTGTTAACGAGATTGTCTAGCAGATTATTGGAAGTGAATATGACCCACATTTTGGTCTTGTGTTAGACAAAGAATTTGCTTTGTAAAATACTCGATGTGCCGTTCTCACTCTTTCTACTTAGTTCGTATCTCACCTGATGCTTCATAATTGTGACGGTGTGCCAGACTATTGCTGAAATAAATTGAGATGCAAATCTCTATTTTACTTTTCATTTTGATGTCTTACGGCTTTCACTCACTGAATGCAACAATCAAAGTTGTGACAAAACACAATTTACTGATCATCACTCAACTTTAATAATCTAAACTGTCAAATCGACAGCCAAGAAACAATTTGCCGATGAAAAAAATCTTTTGTGGGTTTTCTGAAAAGCAATAAAAACAGAAATTGAAAACAAGTTTCTAAGATAAAATCTTTTTTTTTAGTATTCTACATATTTTTTCATTTTTCAGTATCTGTACACTCCGGCCATCTTCAGTATCTGTCTATATTCTGAGATGAGGTATTATGTACACTATTTACATTATTCGAACTATTGTCCTCATCTTTGTTGCCATATTTATTACAATATTTCGGCCTTTCAGTATCTGTCTATATTTCTGAGATGAGGTATTATGTACATTATTTACATTATTTGTACTATTGTCCTCATCTTTGTCACCATATTTATTACAACGTTTCGGCCGTTGTACGCTCCGGCATTCTTCAGCTGGTTGGAATCCAGTGACAGGACCCAAAGAGTGTGAGTTCAATACCTGGTTAAGGTAGTGGAGAACTTTCAAAGGGAAATTAACAGGAGATAACTGATAACATGGCACGTGGAACTAGAACAGTCTACCCCAGTGAGCGAAATAAAGGGTTCAGTTCGACATTCCAACCACCTGAAGAAGGCAGGAGCGTACAACGGCCGAAACGTTGTAATATGGCGACAAAGCTGAGGACAATAGTCCGAATAATGTAAATAATTTTTCATCTTTGTTGATTTTAGCCGATAGTTTTTCAGCCTTCCTCACAAAAATAAAATCTCAAATACAAACATTCAAGGGTCATGACTTGGCGATGGTCTCTTTTATCAGAGATCAACGTTGAGGTCAAATGTTCTTATGAAGAAAAAAGGGCGGGAGGAAGTGGATTCGTCAGCCGGACTCAACCGATGGGCTGCCTGTGACTTGGTCTTACTAGATAGGCAAGGAAACCAAAATATACATCAGCTATGAATAATTTACCTCTATCTCCCAATATTGGTAAACCGTTTCTATTCTAGCGTCGATTGTTTTTGAATCGATTATCTAAGTCGTCGGCGACTTTAATCGATAGCAATAGCCCCAATGATACGTTTGAGGTATTCCCTCACCACGGCCGCCATCAACTTTAGGGTCAGTATGAGAGCTGACCCCGGAAATCCTTCAATCAAATAATAATTGGTCAAATTCCCAGTAGCCAATGTTAGGCTTATCTAAGCTTTTTTCGAACCCGAACAAAACATACAAAAAAATTACAGTACTCGAGATTTATTATTCGAAAATACAGCAATTGTGGCACAAGGCCAAAATGGCGGAATGGGTTGAAGCTGATCGACACTGTCTTATACATAGTTAATCCGATTCACCACCCATTCATTCGTTACAATTTACACATCCACCATAAAAACTCGTCCGTCATCATTCAATACACCACAGTACCGCATACACAGGGTGACCTATAAAAACACCCCACTACATGAAAATTCGTGTATATAAAATTATATATAAAAGTTTATCGATGATAAGCAAGGAGCGTGAACCCGAAATCAAAGTAAAATATGACAAAACACACAAACTAAAAATAATTGACGTTAGTAGGACCCGTCCAACCCGAAAAAGAAATGTGGAAGACCGCTGTATTCTGTCTTCAGACAAAATCCAGAGGATCTCTCGCTAAGGCAGAGGGAAAGATTAAATATGTACACGGGGAAAGAAAAAACTGACCCAGTCGAAATAAATAAAAAAAAAAAATAGGCAGGGACAAAAAAAAAATTACCCTGGTTAGGATAGACCCTTCTTGTGTATCTAGTTAATGTGTGTAAGTGTTTTTCCTGACCTGTACCTGGCTTCTTCTTTGGTTATGATCCTAGCCAAGATTCTGAAAAATGGCACTACTCTATGGAAGCGTGACAACCTAACAGTTCTAATTAGCCTCTCTAAAACTTAAAAGTTGGTTTTATGCTTACTTCAGATTTCCATTTCGGAATTTATCAACCAAATCAAGTTTGGCGACAAATTCAAAATATTTTTTTAACATCTAAAAGAATGTTCTTACCGATCTTAGCAAGCATGCGGTATAAATCGGAATCAGGAACATCAAGTGATAATATAAAAGGATCGATCTGTCGAAAAAAAAAGACTTCCCACTTTTCAATGTCACTGAACGCATAAATTCCAATGAAATGAAATATTTTCACTTTAACGATAACGTCCATCACGAATTGTCTGTCTTCCGGATTCTCGAAGACAAGCGATTAGGTCACCCCTTCAAAGCTCCCCAACCAGCAAACACCCTCGAATGGCCCTCAGAATATGCAGATAAGTAGAGGTAATATCTCCTCGACAGAATATCCTCAGATTTACTTGCAATAAGATTATCTATCTATCTATCTATCTATCTATCTATCTATCTATCTATCTATCTATGTCTCTCTTCTATCTATCCATCTATCTCCATCTATCTATCTATCTATCCATCCATCTATCTCCATCTATCCATCCATCCATCCATCCATGTCTATCTATCCATCCATCCATCCATCCATCCATCCATCCATGTCCCTTCAGCATCCATCTATCCATCTATCTATCTATCTATCTATCTATCTATCTATGTCTCTTCAGTATCCATCTATCCATCTATCCATCTATCTATCCATCTCTTCATGTCCCTCTATCTATCTATCTATCTATCTATCCATGTCTCTTCATCCATCCATCTATCCATCCATCCATCCATGTCTCTTCAGTATCCATCTATCTATCTATCTCCATCCATCTATCCATGTCTCTTCAGTATCCATCTATCTATCCATCCATGTCTATCTATCTCCATCTATCCATCTATGTCCTTCAGCATCCATCCATCTATCCATCTATCTATCTATCTATCTATGTCTCTTCAGTATCTATCTATCTATCTATCTATCTATCTATGTCTCTTCAGTATCTATCTATCTATCTATCTATCTATCTATGTCTCTTCAGTATCTATCTATCTATCTATGTCTATCTGTGTCTCTTCAGAATCTATCTATCTATCTATCTATCTGTCTCTCTTCAGTATCTATCTATCTATCTATCTATCTATCTCTCTCTCTCTCTCTCTCTCTATATATATATATATATATATATATATATATATATATATATATATATATATATTCGGTTAAATGTAGAGTTGTTTGTGACTTTAGGTTTCACGCTAGGGTCACAAAAAAACTCTTCATGAAACGGCAATTGTTAGATCAATCTTTTTATATACATCAAATATTTACGCTGAGGCGCTGGGGGTTGTCTACTAGTCTCGCCGTTTTCGACTCCCACCTCTGCCCCTCGGTGACGATTCCAGTCATTTTTTTTTCATCTGATTTCCTTGGGGTTCTGTACACCAAACTCAAAGACAACTATCAGAAGCCTCGTAACTCATAGAACTCTGCTTCTCCTTCTACTCTATGGTACCGAAAGATTTTTTTTGTACCTAATCTACAAGCTGGAATAAAATTTGGAACTTTTTAAAATATCTTGTAAATTATTTTTTAAAGCTTTTCCTGTTTTGTCCTCTCCCCACCCCGCCCTAAAAGCCAGGGTATTTGTATTTATACAACATCACACTTTCTAAACAGAATTAAGCGAAAAATGAGGAAAATTTGATTTCGGAATCGTATAAAAGATTACGTAATCAGCCACGACAAAAAGTATTTTGCTTTGAATAACAAATGCAGAATCAAAGTATAAAGAATTAAAGCAATTTGTTATATAAAAGTTCCTATTATAATATGTGAATAAAGAAGTAAATTAATAAAAAGGCGACCGCGTGCGAATGATTGCGCTTATTCTAGAATAGTAAACACCATGACAGTCACGTGTGGCACTTGGTCCAACTAACCAATCATTTTGAGCCGTGAGCAAAAAGAAATTGCAACCGACGCCATTTACAGTCCACAACTCATTTTAGTATGATTGATTTTTTTTTTCCCAGAGTCGGTAGTTCACACACACACACACACACAGACGATCGACAGAAATGTAATTGTGGGTTACTGTGTGGAGTAAACGGGTGGCTAATTCGGTCGTTGCAGGTACAATAACCAATGTCTCAGTTGAAGGAGGTGGGAAAAAGTATCCATATGAAGTGAGATATTTTCTGAATTGTTTCTCTCTCTCTCTCTCTCTCTCTCTCTCTCTCTCTCTCTCTCTGGAAAGTCAAAAAAATATGGAAGGGCGCAAATGCTCATTTATAGTCATTTGATATCGATTGGAAATTGTCGGCAAAATTACTCAATCGTCGATGATTTCCATGTCTGCAGGTCTTCTAATGCGTTCATGTTGCACACTGTTTCAATTCGACTGCCTAATTTCGAATCTCGAGACAGATTGTTCAAGAAAGAAACAGTGACCTGCGCTTCATTGGCAAAAAAAGGACTTGTAGCCTTTGTTAAAATATCTCATTATTTTATACAAAGAATGATACAACACGCACAGCATCAACTTAGGTCGTATCAGAGTCTGAAAGCCTGCAATATGAGTAAATTTCATAATTTTACATTATTCGGACTATTGTCCTCATCTTTGTCGCCATATTTATTACAACGTTTCGGCCGTTGTACACTCCGGCCTTCTTCAGGTGGTTGAAATGTCGAACTGAACCCTTTATTTCGCTCACTGGGGTAGACTGTTCTAGTTCCACGTGTCATGTTTAATGGATGTCAGTTGTCAGTTATCTCCTGTTAATTTCCCTCTGAAAGTTCTCCACTGCCTTAACCGGGTATTGAACTCACACTCTTTGGGTCCTGTCACTGGATCTAACCAACGCCTTTATTCACTGTACCATGTGTCCTTGAGGACATCTGTGTATGAATCTCTGGGTATTGTAAACATAATGTCTTCAGCAATCATTTTTTTACCGTTGCTCATATTGCAATTTTTGCTGTTATCATTGCATGTTTTTACCAGAGCTCATATTGCAATTTTTGTTGTTATTATCGCTTTTCTCTGGCACTCCTTATTACTGGTTCCCATATTGTATTCATTTCTATGCTTGGTCGGCTCAGGAGATTTTTGTGGCCTAGCATATGTGCTGATAAATATGGCGACAAAGATGAGGACAATAGTCTAAATAATGTAAATAATGTACATAATACCTCATCTCAGAAATATAGACAGATTCATAATTTTAATTTAACCCTACCGAAACCCAGGCAACGCTTATCGCTTACTTTATTAGGTACACTTGTCTTGTACCCGAGTTGGACACCCATTTTGCATTTGGAATCGCCTCAATTCTTCTGTCTTAGATTCGACAATATTCGGAAAGAACTTTTTTTTCGAAATCTGAGTCCATGCTGTTATTATGGAACATCGTAAGTCTAGATTGGCTGGTTGTTCATCCAGGTTCCGAATATCCCTGGATGGATCCATACCTTTATGTTATTTACGCCAAATCCCGACCCTTCCACCCGAATGTCACAACAGGAATCGAGACTCATCAGAAAGGGTTTTTTTTTCCAATTTTTTGTCGCCCAATTTTTGTGATCATGATCGAAAAGTAGTTTCAATTTCTAGTTCTTGTCTGGCACCTGGCGTAACCTTTTGCTGCTGTAGCCCATCTGCTTCAAGTTTCGACGTGTTTCTTGTTCAGAGATCCCCGCTCCGTGATTATTTGAGCTACTGTTGCCTTTTTATCAGCTTGAATCAGTTTGGCCATTCTACTGTGACTTCTTTCTGCAAGAAATGACACACACTAGATTTTTTTTCTTTTTCAAACCATTCTCTGTAAATCCAGGAGATGGTTGTGCATGAAAATCTTAACAGATCAGCACTTTTCGAAATACCCAGGCGCACCCATCTGACACCAATGATTATGCCATGTTCAAAATTGCTTAAATCAACTATCCCCGCATACTAATACCTTTGTATCAGCTTGAATCAGTTTGGCCATTTTACTGTGACATCCGTCTGCTCCCAGAAAGGCCTCACAATGGATTTTTCAATCCTTCTCTGTAAAGCCTAGAGACGTTTGCTCATGAAAATCCTCATAAATCAGCAGTTTTATAAAGACTCAGATCCACATATCTGACTAATGCAATGACACATATCTGACTAATGCAATGACACATATCTGACTAATACAATGACACATATCTGACTAATGCAATGACATATATCTGACTAATACAATGACTCTGCAATGTTCAAAGTCACTTAAATCACCTTTATTTACCATACTAGAAAAGAAATTCACCCAGTTGCTACTGCCATATTTAATTGATTGTCGCTATTAAATCGCCGTCGCGTCATTAGCTAATTAGAAATTTGCATAAAAATGCATTAGTTCACGTATACTTTAATTAAGGGACCAATGAGTGTCTCTACCAATATTTCGATGACTGCTGGGAAATATGTTCCAAAGTTATGTTTTTTTTAAAGTGTATTGTCGGGTATAAATCCTTGAAAAATAAAATGAGATTTTTTGACTACAGATGCTCACGCCATCGTAGCATGTAATCTGTACAGACATTCGTTGTTAAAATAGAAGCACATTTGTGATGCTACCTGCTACTTTCATATTTTTCATACTTGGCGTGGATAAATTGTCATTAATTGGTATTATAGTAAACATAACTTTAAATTTTATATTTCATTTCAACATGTGGAACAGTTTTGCTCCAGGAAACATTTGAAAAGGATTATATTGTCTGTTAGTTTGGAAATGGTTTAAGTAAATTGAAAACGTTTTAAATCGATGCGTTTCCATCTGATTTACGTTTCGAGGAGAAAATGCTAAATAAAAATTTCAATACCATAGAAAAAATAAAATAATGATGTTTGAGGCAAAACGAACAAATATTCACAATTCCAAAAATTTATTAAAGGATGGCGGAATCCATACAAGTCCATAAGCAATTTTTTGAAAGTAACAAATAAAAAGAGGTTTGTAGGACGGAATATTAAAAAAAAAAATGGTTACCATATTTTCCGGCTTACAAGGCGCACGTTTTTTCGTAAAAAAATACCCTGAAAAATACTTGTGCATCTTCCAAGACGAATGTAAGGCAACGCCCAGTGTCAAGTAAGCTTGGACGATCACCTAATTGACTTGACTTATAGGGACTTGGATTTGTATGCTGAGTCATTACACTGTAATGTTAGCTATTTATCTAATTCAGCCTTTTATATGATGTAACCCCAGTACTTAGCTGTTACAAGTATTTCCAAGTATACAAAACTTCCTGGAGCCGAGCCACAAGCTTAAACATGCTCTATTTACTAGCAGCGGTCGGAGGATTTCTGCTCTTGACAAGTATGTCATTGCCATAAAAACAAAATCGGACGAGTGATTAATGTAAACAATACATGGTGCCGGTATATGAGGGACGCATGGTGAATGTATTTTTGTATGAGAATGACCTTTTTTTTTCTTAGAAATTTCTTTCCAATATTAGGGTGCGTCTTCCAAGCCGGAGCGTCTTGTAAACCGGAAAATACGGTAATTACTTTTTTTAAAAAACAAAACAAACAAAGTATCAGTACGCAACGATTTTTTTCTACAGAAGCCACGAGGGCAATATTTACATGCGTATTATATATTTTTTCTTTAGAGTTTACAGTTCAAATATCCACAAAGAAAATGAATAAAGTTCGTATAAGGAGTCTTTCTGAAAGGAAAAAAAAAGACAATTTTCAATTTTTTTTTCCTCCGGATAACTGAAGAATAAAAGGTGTTTAAACTTCTTTACTGAAGGTAATTCCCTTCGCAATATTCAGCGACCCTGTTGAGATTAGCCTAATTTACTGGTGATATTTTATCTCTGGTTGTTCCATTTCCCGCTCGGTGGTAGCCATGTTGTCTGCATTACTCGTTTTCGATGCAGGATATGTTCAATATTATTTCAAAAGAAAAAATACAAATTCAACTTCCATGTTCTTTGTGAAAATTCCGGTATCTATAACTGGGTTTAAAAGCTTCAATTGATTTCAGCAACATATGGCAACTTTAAGGTGTGAAAAACTTCTTCAAATCAACTTCTCATGAAATATGTCGCTTTCTTTTCTGGAGAAGGTGGGAAATAAATAGTGACATTTTTATTTAGTCTCAGACTAAATATATTCGGAATATAAAAATTCCTTCTTATTACCACTCATTGGTATAAATAATGAAATGGTTTTTAACTCAGAACTTGTTCCAAGTTCTTAGTTTTCAAAAAATTCTTCCATTTCAGAATATTTATCATAAAAAATATACGTCGTTCAACGACGGACAATTTTCTTGGGCAACCAGCTACCACGAGTTAGCAATCTTTTCTGTCAAAAACGAGAGTATTTCCCCAGAAACCCAAGGAGTGCCTGCGGAGTTTAAAAAAAAAACAGTAACTTTCAAATTTAACCAGAGGAAGACATGACCAGATAGTAACAGCAAATAACCATTACTAAATTTTTATTTTTTTGTTTTTTACAAAAAAAGAATATTTATTGACATTTTTAAAAAGAAACTCTAATTTACACAAATTATTAAAAATAAAATATCGATCTGTTTTCAACGTATTTTTCATAAATTAATTTATTAAAATTGCTGCGTGAGTAAACTAGGATCTTTACCTTAGTTTTATTTTTGCTGTATAATTAAATGGTTGAAATAATTCTTAAAAATGATAAAATCTTTGTTTACTCTCGTAAATAAAACTAAGTTTAAACTATTGTGTCATTTAATAATACAAACTCCTCAGATAATCTGGCAAAAAACAGGATTTTAGTAGAAATCCAATATAAGAAATGAAACAGAAAAAGAAACTGCCACCTTCATGATAATAAATGTCCATTTTTGCAATGGGCAATTGCTTTGAGAGTAAAATCCTTTCGGTTCTCTCCGTGTCTCCCCGGCCGCGTTTGTTAAAACCATGTCAACTGATATCGGATTAGCTATAATGCCTCCCGTTGCTTTGCCATCATTTTCGACCCTTTCGGCTTTCATGGCTTCTTGTTTGTTATCCGATGCCCTTTGTTTAAGGCCCATGAGAATTGACATGAACAGAATAAGAACATTATTTCAACAAGAAATGCAACGCAGCCACAACAAAAAAAAGAAAAAAAAAACGCTAAAAATATAATCTTATTCCACCTTACTCAGAAGGAGTTTACAATCAGATTAAAGACACTCGTGGGGCATAGAAATCTTTTTTTCAAGCGATGGATTTTAAAAAAGGCTCTTTGAAAAGACATATCTGCAAATACCTCAATCCTACATATTAGTTG